CTGATTTTACTAATAATTTATATGATTTTGATTGTGCTTCTGGTAAAATATCCGTTAAACAAGGTATACTGTAAAATAGCACCCATGATCTCCATTCAGTTGCTTTCTAAGCTCTCTTTTTTGATAACACACGTGGTACCCGATGAATTTCATTTGGTGGTTTAATTTGCAATAATCTATTATTTATTATCCATAGATTTGATGTAACTATCGTTAACGTATCTCTCACTATCTTGTATGTCACAGAAGACATTTTTACTTCGATTTTTTTTCTGAATTTTTAAATAATTATCTATCATAACTCGATTGGATTTCTTTTTTAAGAAATTTTGCAATTGATATTTCAGATCAATTGTCATAATGTAATTATTTTCTTTTAGACTTATTGTGTATTCATTGGAACACTTATCACATGTTGCTGCTGTGACTTTCTTTAATTCTGATTTTGGAAGTGATTCAGTTAGTAATACATGACATGAGGTGCAGTAAAAAGAATAAACCATCGTTTTTTCAGGAGGATTGAAATATTTTTTCATGAAGTACTTGGAGATATTTAAATTATTAAAAGCTGGGCCGGCTAATAGTTGTATCATATTGAGTATTATTTGTTGAACCTCATCAGGAAGATTATATTTGACTGTAATAGTTGTCACCATATTTAATACTTCCCAAACTGAAATTTTTGAAGCTTCAAACATTATCCTGTCAAAAAGATTTCTTGAATCTATTTCATCTTCTTTTTCATCTATTACTTGTGGAATTTCTTCATCTTCGCTATCTTCAAAATATTCGTCCGATTCTTCGTCAATTTGCCAATCTACAGAATCTTCCATTTCTAAATTGTCGGTTACATGTTCTTCATAATTTGAAGTATCATCGAGGTTTTCCAGATTATAAGTGTCCGATAAATGGATTGTGCACTGTTCTTCCATGCTATCATCAGCTTCATTGTTACTTGACGTGGCTTCTTGATATTGTTGACCTAAAAGATACAAATTGTTGAAAAATTTTAGCGTAAAATCAAGTTAAGCATAAGTATAAGAGTTTTTGTAATTCAAAACATAATAAATATCTCATCACTGCAAATCCGGGAAAATTCAAATGTTTAGTAATAAAACGCTTAGTGTTTAATAATCAAACACCTAAATGTTTACAATGTTGTACGCCATAAAAAAATTATAACATTTTTGTAAACAGCAAGAAGTGATTGAAATTCGTGTACAAAATTACTATAGTTTATTTATGGCGTTCAACATTGCAAACACTTTAAATGTTTAGTTTCTAAACACTTAAATTTACAGCGATAGTATTATAAACTTTTTCGATTTCATACAATAAGCTTAATCTTGTCGAAATTATTTACCAATAAGTCCTTATTCAATCTGATAACAATTTTTCTTATAGAATCGTATACAATCGAACGAATAATCAAACGGCGTCATTAACTAATGAATTCTTATAGCATCTTATGAGAAACGGTCTAATAGTTTCTTATAAATCAATTCAGAAATTAAAAAATATTATTTGCTTACTGTTTCTTATACAGTCTTATAGTATTCGTTCTTGAAAAATCTTATAGCCTCAGATAGAAGAAAAAGTTATTACTTTTACCAACAGATTCTTATTGCATCTTGTAATATTTTTCTGATATATTCTTATAAAACTTATTTAGAAAAAAAAAAATATTATTTACCTATAATTTCTTATCGAAACTTATAATATAGTCCTTATTTATTCTTACATATACTTATAAAATCAACCAAAAGTTTTTTTATTCTCATAAATTCTGATCAATTCTTATTGAATAGTTATAAGACCATTTTTGGTCTTCCAATAGACCCGATACGTTCTAATTCATTCTTATAAATTGTGTATTAGAATCTGTTGGAAATTATAAGTTCTTGTCGGTTTGTTTTACCAGGGTAGAATTTGTATTAAATTAGGCAAAGAAGTTTCATTCACTCTTAGGAATAAATATGTTTATAAATATATTTGTCAGAATGAGAGAAGCAATCTAAAGAGTGTTCACTCTCAGCACTGTGTACTAGGTGAGTTACCTGAGAGTGGAGCACGCGAGTGTGTGTAAAATGAGTAAGGAAAACGTTGGGTATTCGGTCAGTTGGCCTTGTAACACCCTCGCAATTATGTAGTATAGATCATTCTTCAATCTTAATAAACTCTCTATTTACATTCGTCTCTCTTCTAGCATTAACCGGGTTAAACATGCCATTTGGGAAAAATCTTCGAATTTAATTTCTGTGTTGGAATTATCCAATTCAAACTTTCCAATAGAATCCTATTAAATCCAATTTTCGTTTACAATCTGCTTTATAATAATAACGATTTATTTCTGATAGAAATTAATAGAGATTTTAAGAGAATCCAATTAAAAAAATTCTTCCATCATTTTTACTCTTTGGGTTCAAAGAAAAAAATATTTACAGTAATGACTCAGTTGTGAGGTTGTTAATAGAGAAGAAACAAGTTCAAAATTGACAATAATTATGAATAAATAAATCTTAACTTCGTTTCTAAGTCCAGTTTTCCAATAAAAACCTGTCCATTTCCAGTTCAATTCAATAGGGATTCTTATTGAATCCAATTAGAAAATGTATTTCTTTCTTATATATTATTGAAGATAATAAGTTATAACTACATATTTGTATAATATCATTTAAAACTCATTGAAGAGACAAGAAATGTAATGTAGATTAATAATTATATTGTTAATAAGTATAATTATTAATAAATAAAAGTTAACTAGTTGATTATTATAAACAATATATTCGCCTAAGCTTTCATTTCCAATTGGGCGGATTTTTAGTTTCCAATTGAATCTTATCAAATCCCATGTGAAGTCTATTAGATTCAATTGGATTGTATTGGTTTCAATTGGAATGTTTAACTAGGGCAACTACTCACAGGCATTAAATTATAATAAATAACAACTTGTAAGCGTCAAGAAAATTTTTATAATTTTATGTGTATTTCTCACAAGAATTTGAATAAATTTAATCAGTTTTTATAAAAACTTATTGAATGATATTTTCAATTCTGTCACTTAAGATAATAAATGCTTTTATCGAATTGCTATAATTTTTGTATGTACAAATAACCTGAAATATCTCGTTAAACATACTTAGCTATTAATTTTGACGCATTTGTAATCCAATAAATGTATATTCCTCGTTGACTATTCCAATCAAGAAAAGTCTTTGAATGGGATTTCTGCATTAAAAGTTTCCAATTCAATCCAATTTATATTTCTTGATTGAATCTTTTTTCACCCAATTGGTTGTAATTTAATTAGTCATCGATTCCAGTTGGAACATTTATTATAATTAAGGATATCTGATTCCTTGTAATTGATATTCACTTAAAGTCAATGAGAATCGAAAAGAGTATTATTAATTTCAATTAGATTTTTTCACTAAAGTGAATCATTTTATTTAAAATTATAGAGTTTTAAGCCATTGCATTTTGCAGAATATTAAATAAATTATAAATGTATTTTTACCTTGTCTGCGACGTTTCTTCCAGTGGTATGAAGTGCTTGGATTAACAATAGCATTGTCGATTCCCTGAGCCAATGCACTCTTGAAACTTCCGCGTTGTTCCTATGTGCCATTTTGAAAATGATTTATCCTATTTATATTAATAAGCAAATTACACTCAACTATAATATTGATTTAAAGAGTTTGATCGTGAAATTTTGTATTATCACTTGGAATAATCGATGCTTAGTGAAATTACTAAAATTGATCAAATAAGTATTTCAGAATCTTTAGTGCATGCTAGCTTTCACGATGCTCCATCAAAACTGTGGGGATAGTAACGTGAAAGCTGTTGAACGGCAACTGTCCCCTTTAAGGATGCGGGTAGCCCAATTTTATCTGTTGCACACGTATACCTGTACCCCCAAACACAGAGAGGATAGACGAATATAGAGGCTCAACGTAAATGGGCGCTTACAGACATACTTTTTACACGTGTTAGCCGAACTTTTATATGGACAAACGTATACCTGTTAGCCGAAGCTTCGTCCGGATTTTTAAACCAGGTATACCATAGAAGTTATACTATAGTCTCTCTTCTCTGCCCAAAAGTTTGTTGAACAAAACAGTGGTTCTCCTACGGTATTTCTAATCTCTGATAGTGATGGAAATTATCTAACATGCACATTTATGATTAAAATACTAACTAATTTCTAATTAATAATCCGAGACTTCACTGTAAAACGTTGATTTCGTTACTTAGCATGGAGAATAGGCTATATTATTTTTCATATTTATTAGGTGTCGTGTCAGCTGTTTTTATTAGGGAACAGAAATAAATATAATAGACAAATTTATTATTATTAATAATATTACTGTAAATGAAAATATTTCTAATACATGCTCAAAAATTATAAGATTTCAATGATTTATACATTTAGTAATGAAGAAAAATATTTTCGACTCAAATTTCGAAGTATAACATTGTTCATGTTAGTCAAAAGTACGTTGTTCATGTTCAATATTAAAAAAAGGCGATTTTGGTAACATTAAGTGATAATTACATTTTTTAAATTCTATTTTGGATTGCATTGAAGTTTTAAACCTTTTTAAATTTTCTTCATTATTTATATTAATTTTAATTATTTTAATATACTACAATAACCATTTAATTTCTCTAAATTGTAAATATTATTAGCTAATTAGTGTATGTACAACTTTATTTTTGTGCAAGCCCAGATTTTTGTAGATCTTTATTATTAATATAACTGATTATTTTTCAAATTTTGCACGAATATAAATACTTATTAATTCTTTTATTCATAAATGTATCGAATTACTACAAATATTTAGTAGTAGTGAAGTTTTGCTTTTCAATTTGAAAACTGGATAAACAGAACTACCATGTGGCACCATCTAGCGTTTGTTAATGGAAACTTTGGGCGCTAAAACTGTTACGGCTCCACGTTTTTCTACTGCGTCATTCATTACCACATGTTTGTTGTTATTACTGTTCACACTACTTATTATTTCATCTGATTTATTGTAATGATGACAGAAAAAAGTACAAAGTGGGCATACGTGCAATTGACCACTAAAGAAAAATATATAGTGCCCGTGACAAATATATTAAAATTTAATGTCGCGAACTATAATAGTAAACAACAATACTACATAATCATCGACGGAGCTACCCACAAAGGAATAATTTTATTTCTCAAAGGTAAGATAATAATTTCTTTCTGTATATAAGGCTTTCGTCCTCATAAAATAAACTTTGGCTAACCTATAATGGAATTGTGTGGAATATAATTTAGTATTTCCAAATGATTGATGTATTAATTTTCCATGTAGATAGTGAAGAGGAAGTGAAACAAATGATCGATGGAAAAAGAGTGCCAGTTCCACCGTCCACCATCATCAGAAGTGCTTCAGAACTAAGTGACATGGAACCGGGAACTTCTTCCATATCAAATAAAAAGAAAGTTACTACCACTTTAGAAGTTAAAAATAGAAGCGACAATAATAACTTAGAGAAGAAAAAAAACCTTCTAAAGGTTGCATCAATGAAAGTAAGTTCATTTATATTGCTGTATTTTTTTGTTAAATCGTTAATCAATATGATTTTTGTATATGTTCATATATATCGTTTTATCTACGTTGCAGCGTAAAAATTCAGAAGAACTACCGTCAAATATTGAAGCTAAGAAAGCAACTATAGTTTTAAAACGACATATAGTTGATCAATTAAAAAATGACAAAGTAGAGAAAAGTGTCCAACGAAAAAATTATATTGCTGTAAGTACTGTTCACAACAGAGTTTCATTATATATTTTTTTTGAGTTATTCAACATGTTTAACAACATGTATGCCAAACATAATCAAATTGTAAGCTTTTCAACTAGGCGTCATACGTCTGAGCAGTAATACGTTACGTATTATTGCTAAAGAAAATACATGTTACAATGTAAAAAAAGCTTTTGATGACAAGTAATCAGATTATCTCTGATGAATATTAAATAATGTTAGATTTTATGGTATATCGTGTTTATCAAACATACATAACGTTATTATCATAGTGATAACAGAATTTAAATAAATAGTATAGTTATGGTGAATTTTTTGAAAAACCGCAATTAATATAACATGAATATGATTATTCGCGTTTTCATATTTTACATGTTATTATTTTGGAAATTACAAATAAAAGTACAGAAATTGTATTAATGGAAATAAATAATGAAGAGGAATCTACTATAGTAGTTTATAAACATAGTGATAGGATATGAATATTGATGAATATTGTTGGTTGATATGTTATTACAAATCTAATAGCATAGGTTCTCGTATAATTTAATAACACTAGCTAGTATATTTATAAAACGTATTGATATAAATTTATTAATTAGATTCTTTAGGACTTGATAACATATTTTGTCATAGCATCTGACGGAACTAGGTACATGTAAAATCGTACAAAAGTAGATAATAGTTTCATAAAAATAAAAAATCTTACAGAACAAAAATAAAAATTAAATATTAAAGCATCTAGCACCATTAAGTTCTAATACAATCTTCTAATATCTGCTTTGATAAGGTCTTATAAGATTAGGAGGAAAATATTGAAATATTATTTACTAATAAGATCTTGTATGATCTTATTGAATATGTTCTCATATAATCTTACAAGAATGAGTAATAGAGTCATGAATATTATCTACTAGTAACTTCTTATAGGATCTGATAGCATATAGAATTTTCATTTGTGTCCCCTGTTTGTGTTGTCAATACATTTATCACACGTTTCTCGTTTGTAAGCTACATACTACTGAAAATATTGATCAGATTATTAGTATTATTTTCAGAAATATACATATGGTTTGGAACCAATATTTTTATGTACATGCTCCATGTTCTCAGCATTGTCTGACGAATTTTTTTATAGATTACTGAATGCGAAAAAATTACTTCCGATACTCAACGTTTAATCAACAACGATAAGTAAGTATAATGCGATTGAATTATGTATCGGTTTGACGGCATTAATTTTCAAAGCTATCAATTTATGGCTTCCGATGACTTTTTTTCATTTATTTTTGCTTTTCTATTGGTATGCTTCTCTTGATTATTTAAACTGCATAATCTTACATTCACAATTTTAATACACCATAATGGCCTCTACACTGATAGAAGAAATTTGTAATAGTAAAGGAGGCTTTTCAACTGTTAAAAAATATTTTGTAACAGTTAAAAAATCATATTTCAACTATCAAACGTAGACTTGTTACAGTACAAAAAATATTTCTTAACAATGTAACCAATACAATCCATATTTTATTGTGTATCATATGGTTTCTTTAATATCAAATGACATACTATTAGAATGAAGTTAGGAATTGACAAAAAGTTAGATTATTGATAAATATGATAGTTCTGGTTTATATAAAGGTAGGTGGCGTTGCGAACGCCGGTTTATGAATTGTTAAAAAATAATTTTTAACAGTTAAGAAATATTTTTTTACGATAAAACAAGATTTATTCATTGTAACCAAGGCTTTTTTACTACTATAAAATATTTATTAACAGTTGAAAAACATTAATTTTAATAATTAAAAAATCGTTTTTTAACAGTAATACATCTCTTCTATCAGTGTAGAAACATACCAGTTACAACTCTGACAAAAAAATTGATCAGAGATTACGACATATGTAAATAACATTCTCAATAAGTGTATAAAAATATATTTTATAAGTTGCTATAAGATTTCATTAAAAATTATAAATTTTTTTAATCGATGGTAGAAGTCGTACTTGAGCAAATATTTACATTATACATTCTCACGAATTCTTATAAAACTGAGTTACAGATGGAAAAAAGCGATTTTTTTGATGAATCGTTATAGAAACTCATAGGATGTATTCTTATCGATTCTTATAAAATTAAATTATAAAAATACAAATATCTTTTTCCAATGAATTCTTACAGAAATATATAAGATTTATCCATCACATTTTTATGAACATCTACCTTGAAGGTCAAGAATATGATGATACTTATGCATACCGAATTAATTTTCATTGGCATTTCACACACAGATTTTTTAAGCATTGGATAAACTTGAAATATTTCAATTAAATTTTTTAATATTAATCAATTTTCACGTGAACAAAAAGATTTATTCAACTTATAGAGGACAACACTTGCTTTAAAATAAGAAAAATATTTATTCTCCTCTTTATGTATTCATACCTGTCTTCTTTTGTGAATTGATAAAGCAGTCTTCGGATTTGCTTGAAAGATGTTTTGCTACAATGATTGATTATGTCATTCATAAAAGAGACTTGTCTATTCCATTGATAATGATCCATAGTTTTTTAATTTACTATTTTACTATTACACTGAATCAAGCATATATTGGAAAGGGCTTTTAACACTTATGCAAAACGATCCAAAAATTTGTTTTTTATTTATTAACTTCTTACGTTAAATTTCGTTATACAAACACGGAGAAAAAAGAAAATTTATTATTTTTATTGCCAATTACATTTATTGCATTAAATAAATTCAATATGAGAATTATTAGTCTTTGAATATAATCAATAAGCATTTTTTTTTTTTTATTTTTAACAGAAAACAAATTCCAACGATGGTATATCAGCGACAGAATATAATCGGATGAAGAGTGAAATGAAAAAACTAAAAAATGAGGTTGAAACTTTAAAACAACTACTACAAACAGAAAAACGTAAATATGAGTCACTCCAACATACAATAAATAAAATTATCGCAGAACAAAATATTCAGGATAAAATAGCCAGTGACATCACATCGATTTTGAGTAAGATTACAATACGTTCATTATTATATACATTTAAGTTAAAGAATTAAACCCGTTACAATTTTTTTTGTTCCACACAGATTTATTTCGCGAATATTCCCATAATATTAATGGTCCATCCACTTCAACTTAAAATTTGCCACCGATTGGCTTTCCAAATGTCACAGACGGAACGACCCACATCGGACACGACATATGGATTAGTACTGAAGCATTTGATATGGTGATGGCAAATTCCTCACCCGGTGTGGTTGTTCGTGATTTGTGTAGAGCTTTATTCTCCGCTGAAGAACTCGTCAGTAGCACAGTATCTGGTAGACCTTCGAATAAAAACAAAAAAAAAAAGAATTAGAAAATGTTGATATGCAAGTCCAAGGACTTTCAGGCACAAAAATTAATGCAATAAGAGGTAAGTAACGATCCTAGGAAAAGCTTTGTGTAGTAAAGAAATATTGAATTAAACTTATCTGAGATTTTAGATAATAGACATGAGATATTTTTTTTAAAGATAAAAATAACGTGTAAATGGTGCAATGATCTGTTTAATTTCATTCCAGATGTGTTGGAGCATTATTTATCAATCAGACATAAAAAAATGTCTCAAATAAAAAAAGACCAGACCATAGCCCGCTTAAGATCGGTGATAGCATTGTTACTTGCGGATCTTAAAAAAAAGGGAAAGAAAATAAAAAGACAACAACTGTAGAAGATAAAAAATCAAAAAATGCAGAAAAAGAAGAGGAAACAGGAGATAATTCTAATATTAATGAAGAAAACAGAGAAGAAGTAGATACAGAAAAAGAAGCAGAAGATAGCGCTGATTTTGATGGAGAAGAAAAAGTAGAAGAAAATAAAGAGAGAGAAAAAGAAGATGATGGTGATGTGATTAAAAAAAGGGAAACCGGAGAGGAGATGGAACCAAAAAATGACACTGATGTCAAAAGTGAAAATTCCAACGAGGAAGAAACAAGTGGTTTCAGCGATATGGAAAATAATGATAAATGTTAAGTAATATAAGTTAATACACAAAAACATTCTTATGTTTAAACAATCGTTTTATTCATTCATGTTTGATAATTGCCAATAAATTCCTATAAAAAACAATACAAAAGATTCCTACATAATCTTATAAAATACAATCCAAAAATGCATAATACTTACCGATAGATTCCTATAGAAAACGATGCAAGAGGCTCTTACATAATCTTATAAAATACAACTATTCGTATGATACGAATAGTTCTTATAAAATCTCATATAATTATCAGTATGTATCCGAAAATTGCATGAGAAATGTCGCAGTTTATGTTAGAATTTGTAAGAAAATAAAATAGTATTTTCCAAAAGATTCTTATAAAGTCATAAGAATCAATCCGAAAATTGCATGAGAAATTCAACACTTTTTTTAAGAATTTATAAGAAAATGCCTAATGGATTCTTATAAAAAGTGTGCTTTTTCTCATGCAATGTTCGGATAGATTCTTATAACTTTTTTTTTATAAGATTTTATCGGATTGTTTAACCAGGGTGCTCACTTCCTAGTTACACGCCAACATAAATTTACTTTGTGACCTGTATCCCATAAACTCAATAGATCCAGATAGAGCTCATGACTTTTTTATTTCAGCTGTACGTCTTCGGACACAAACAAAATGCGTGGAGAATGTACTCAAAGAGGTATATAACCACGCAAAATTTTTTTGTCCAGCACAGCAATGGCCTCCACGTGGCGCTAGATGGAAACAGTGCCATAAAATAGTTGTAGCACTGGCCAACATTGCAAAAAAAAAGTTGAAGAAGTAACTTCGAGTAGTATCACTCGATGAGTGTAGGTCTTTTATTCCATTCTTTATGCTACTTCAATGTTTAAAAAGAAGCATTAATAGGAAATTTATTATAGTAAATAAAGCCAATTTTTAGCAGAGGATTGAATTGAGATCGAAAGTATGTTTCAATCAAAGTTATATCATAATTGGTATAGCAACTCATCGGCAGAGGATTGAATTCTCTTTGTTCGCATTAGTCAATTGAATTCTGCATTTTTTTGTTATAAACAATAAAAAAAAAAAAAAAAATTGCAAAAAAAGTATATTTTATTTAATAGAGAATTCAATTCTCTACAAATGAGTGGCTGTAAAAACAGTCACTAAATTTGAGTCCGATTTTTCTCACATTCGAGGGTTTGAGAACTTAGAAAAAGTTTCTTTCTATCAAAGAGAAACTATTTCTATCATTTTTATGTTTTTTACAATTTCGCTTTAAGCCTCATTTCATACGATTTCTGGGCTGCGGAAATTGCTTCCTCTGGTTTTCTCCGTTCTCACTACAGGAGAACCGAACAAAGCTCCGCCTTTCATATTATCTCAGCGGCAGGGGTACTTTAGTGCCTTATACTTTTGTAACGGAGCGACATTTGTGTCAGAACTATACTGTCCTGAACATTTTGATCATATAACATTAGTGCCCCTGTTGAAGTGTTCTAGCAGTAAATTTACAATGTTGGTAGAGTAGGAATAGTTTTAACCGTTTGTTGTAAAAGAAATAATCTTTTAGTATATTTATTAGATAAAAAGTATAATCTTTAGATAAATAAATAAATTTACTATTCCAGTCAATAAACTTATTTATAAAAAACTTATTATTTAAAAAAAAATATTTATAAATAAAAACTGTCAATAACTTATACTTAACTACTATTATACTTAATATTAAGTTACTTCTTATTATGAAGTTATATTTTACTGGACTGTCAATGATTTATTTATAAATTTAATTATAAAAATAATAATAAATCAATTTAGATAGTATATTTTTTAAATATCTTTTTAATTAAACCTTTAATTTTTCTCCTTCATTCCTTCATTCTTTACTATCCTTAATTGGAGTTAAAATTTTTTTACAATTGTATTTTTTGTAAGTTTATAAGAAAATAATGTTACAAATATATTTGTCAAAACATGCCAATATATTTCTTATTATATCACTAGAACAATTGTACAGAATAGCTACAATTTACATAATGAAATATGATAAAGTAACGAATTTTTATTACACAGTTGAAATATCAAAAATTCATTTCTAGTTAATTTTTTATTATTTCCATTGTAAATTGATTGATATTAATTATAATAATTGTATAAATAAGCTTTTTGAGAATTATAAGAAACTAATTTTCCCTTAATAAAACATTGAGTAATCCATGTCGATGATACCAAAGGAATGTTTCACTTTTCAGCTTTCGCAATACCCAACTTGGACACTTACGATTATTAAGTACTGTCACTTCATCAATAAAATTGTTTGATGGATTTTCAATAAATTATACAATACCTCCAGCATTGTTGACAGTGATATTATAATTGATGTTGCCAAACGACAGTTTTGAATTCTAGATTATTCGGTTGAAATAGTTTATGAATTGATTAAGTTTTTCACGTAATTCCCATACATCCACAAATGATTCAGATTTACCACTAGCTGCTACAATTAACGAATCAGCATCTTCACGCACGACGAATTTCAAATGTGTTATGTCTGTACAACTATCTTTTAATGCACCATCTTGTAAGAAAAAACTAGGCAATGCTTGCGACTCCATACTGCATTTATCTTTATTTTTTCGTATTAACACTTGATAGCATCTAATTGGAAAACAACTTATTCCACCTGTTATAGCAATCAAAAAATGTCATTTTTTGCCATAACATATATCTACTGCTGATATCTTTTGACGTGTGGTACCTAAGCTTTTAGTAGCATAACAACTGGATTTTGAAGGTCTTTTGTTATCATTACTGTTGCTACCATTCCTGTGCTTGATACTACTAACACTCCTTTAACTGCTCTACCGCCAAATTGCCTCACTGAAGGTGTGAATGATAGATTATTGAACTTTTCACTGTAATAAATACTATCCTTCTTTTCGGAAACCAATGCTGTCTGAAATTTATAAAATTAATTATTAATAATTATCAATAATAAAATTAATAACGGATGTTGAAATAATTTCCGACTTTTTTGCCATTATGAAACCAAACAGCACCAAGAATATAAATCCCACCCTAAAGCAGTTATTGGATAAGATGTAAATGACGTAACTCTAAAAACAAATAATTCATCATTTAAAAACCAAATCTAATTAATGAAATGAAAAAAAAATTAATTATTTACCGGTGAGATTGTGTTGGCATGTTAAGGTCACAGACGTAGACATGAGATCCCCATGTTTTCTCATGAATATAAAAAAAGATGGAAGAATTTTTAACAAAGAAATTCTTTAATAATTTTTTCAACTGTAAGATTTAGGTACTCATTTAGTTAACCCATTCTTGGAACCCTGGCTCCACTCGGTACCAAACTGCTAATTCAAGCATACTTTCTCCTGAAATCTGCAATAATTTTGAAGAAAAAATATCAGTTAAAAGCTAGTATTTGATTGTTTTAATAATTTTGTATGTATGCAATAAATAGATTTTAATGACAATCAACTATTCAAGAATTCCTTTTAACAACAAAAGTTGTGAATGATTCCTTAAAAAGTAATTGTAATTAATTTGTTTTATGCTAAAGTAAGAAAAGTAATAAAGTTTACTAAAAGTACTGTTTCTACTTTTTTGAAAGGGTTAGATTGATGTTATAGGTAATCACACACCATTAATAAAATTATAACAGAAATCATTTTTTTTATTTTAAACATTTTTTAATACTTACTCCTGTCGGTGTAATTACACTTGGTAGAGACATTGAAATGATCTATTACATTAATAAAGTTTCTAATAATACATTAAAATGTTATGATTACTGCAGTGAAAATGATTATAATAAAGTTTTTTTAACAGAAACTACCTGTCTTCTGAAAACTATTATTTATCAACCAATTAAATTACTTTAATTTTCTAACTTTTTGCAATTTATATTTGTTATTAACTGTTGATTCTAGATAATTCGTTTCTGTTAATACGCATGTATTGATACAATAAGAAAATTAAAATGATAACAACAAATTTTCATATTTGGTTCAAACTTTCTGTTGAATTTTATTGAATTTTTATTTAGTAAAAAAATCAATTTTCTTGATTTTTGGCTTTTATTTACTTACTTTTTTATTTATCATTCATTGTGAGATGTAAACTTCTAGTTTTTGTTGACACACTAATATTGTAGCAAAGAAATTTATACGATAAAAATCAACTTTTTTATAGCAAAAAAAAACGTAAAATAAGTTTAATCATAACAATAAGTATGTTTTTTATGATAAATAGAAATGCTGTAATGATTGTTACAAAATAGCAAGTACTTTTTTTTTATAAAGAGAATTATTTCAAATTTTTACGATTCATTTGAGGGATAGAGAATTATAAAACTTTTTTCAATTACTTTACGACAAATTGGACATAAAGGTCTAAAAGTATTCATTCTTTCTTTTTTCCAATTATCAATCAAATCTTTACCTGTCTTACAGCGTAAGCACAAACATGCATGATTACACGGTGATAAGATCACTTTTACTCGATTAACCAAACAATTACAGCAAATAGTTTCATTGCTAATTGGTTCTCAGTCATCTAGGAAGTTTAAACATTTCAACTGCCCATAAATATTTAAATCATCTGGTATTGGTACATCAATAACTGGTTTTGTAATTTTTTGTTAATATTCATTATAAATATTGATTTTTTTGCGTTGAAATAAGAATAATTTACCTTCATTATTAGAATCATGATTGAAGAGAATAGGTGATATCACCATTCTTTCGTGGGGAGCTAATCCACCAGTTCTCGACGGAGTTATTGAATTGGTTAATCTTCGGCTTTCATCTGACCTGTTATATGGATGTCGTGCTCTACTAGCACCTTGTCTTGGGGGTCTTCGATGTAATTGGCGTATGATTGGTTCTCTTGTTAGTTCTATGTCAGGAGGATCTTGAAGTTTTATTTGATAATGAAAAATAATTACCTTCCGTTATCGAAAGCTGTCTGCATATTATAAATGTACGTGTCAACCACTGCTTGTTGATTCTTTCTGTAACGACCTAAATCTGGAGAATAT